CGATGAGCACAAAGATGGCAACCGGCAGGCTTTCCGACCCGGTAACATCCGCACCAGCGCATAATGTGCGATAATTTTTGATGTATACCCCTCCAACTCCTCACCGCCATCATTCTAATTTTGGTCGAGTAAACCTCAGGGCTCATGTCTTCCGTTCCTCTTACGGAAAGCGTCAAAGTCAACTCAGTTCGCAAAAGAGAGCCCAGCATTGAGTCAGCTATCTGGTGTTGATGTATCACATCCTAAAGTACCGTAGTCGTCTCTTCAGCTACGCCGGCAACTTCGAAAATCAAACGTGGCTGGCAGAAGCTGCGACTAATAATTCATTCTATTTAACAGTTTTAAGACATGGCGGTACATTCTGCTAGACGATTTGGCAGGCATTGTTGATACTAAGATTGAAACCGAGATATTTTGAAAGCCGAATTATATTCATCATGGCCTATACCCGCTTGCTTTTGTTTATGGCATGCGCCATTTAAAGAAAGAAGGTGTGCTAATGGGAAGCGACGGTCTTGACCTTCTGTCCGGCTAACATCTAATGTCCGCCTAGATGATAAGAAGCATCACTGTGCGAAGGGTGCACAGTCTTTAAAACTGTCGTGCGTATGTATCTTCATGCCACGTTGGTCACGTACAGAAATACGGGAGATCAATTGCGTCCATATCCCCAAAGCTGCGCTGCAATTGTGCACTTAAAGATTCAGTGCTGATTCGTTTCGATCCCAGCTCATCTATCATACACGCAGTATTGAAAGCATGGGCTCGCAGCTTCGACAAGCCAAAAATGAGCATGTATTGGCAAAACCAAGACTAAAAGGCATGTCTTCAATAAAAAGGATTTACGCAGGTACTTGTTGCGTGTACGTAGAGCTTAATATGTTTTCGTCGACATATCGCGAAGTTTGGCAATCGTGCAAGGCTTTGTTTGCTGCACTGATGCCAAGGCTAGCACAAATTTGCTGTAGCCAAGCATATCTTTCTATCACACGTGCGGCCCAGGTGCAGCGGTGGGTTGTCTTGAAGCACGCAAGCCTGTAACACAAACTCTTGCGCACACACGCTTGACAATCATAGTTGCCTTCTTGTACAGTACTTGCAGCTGCTTTTCTTGTCGATGCTGAAAGTTCAAAGCTTAAATGACGATGTGTGAATACATGCTGTGATGCTCAAAACATCGTTAATGTAGGCAACTATATGCCGAAGACCCTCGACGTGCGCAAGCAAAAGCTGTGCTGTATTCCGAAGCATCAATTTGGCAAGCGATTGTGACTTGACCGAAGTGTGCTGTACGGGTCAGAGTGTATCAGATCGGCTACCGAATACCGTTTACCAAAGTGTCTATCTGATCGAAGAACGAGACGTATACCAGCAAGTCCACTTTGCTCGCTATCATGCAGAAGTCAATTTCCCTACTTTATGTCGACATGTCTCAGCTAAAAGACTGTGAGAGTAGTTTCAAAGCGTTTTGGTATATCTGTCATCGAGATTCGCACGTCATGAACTGTGAAGCAAAGGATAAAAACGCTGAGGATTGCGCTGCGCGTCCAGCCTTGAGATGCCGAGACCGCCATCACTTCGATGTCGGTTTACAAGCTACCGCAACAAAAGCTGGATATGCAATAGCTCGTGATTATGCCTTAAACTGAACACGATTCGGTTTGGCATTTTTCATCATCGCCGTCGACAGTTATACATGTTACGTGTGGTGACGCAAACCTGAGCGTTTCATCATCTAGGCTACCACGGACCGACCAGGAAGCGTTCTTGTACGACGTGGCGTTGACTTCGAGCCGTTGCAGAAGCGCTGTTGAAGCAGTTCCGTTAGGGGTCGCCGAAACACCACTGTACGATCAGAATGCCGATGCTTTTTCCGCCTCCGCGCGGCCGAGCTGTAACGGGAATTGCCCGACCGTGTACACACAAGACTTAGGTCAATTGACACGCCTCACCGCTTGTTGCTCGCTTCCAGTGGTCGTTGACTTACGTAAAAAGGGGGAAAGGTGAAGGGACATTATATTTATAGCGAATAGGCTTTAATCCCCCCAACCTGATAAGTATGATACAACACAGCTGAAAGGGGGCATACAACTATTCAGGGTGTACAGTATTAGTTATCTACACAAATTATGTGGTCCACACAACCTGTGTGATGGGACCTGGCTCATTTAGACGAGCACTTTACATCGGGGGCAGCGGGAAATCGCGGTTCTGATTCAGTGTCAACTTGTACATGATGAGCTATGCGCTAGAGCCATTCCAATCGAGCGTGAGGAAGTATCAGGACAAGCCGTTGCTATTATGGTCCACTTGTACATTTGTAATATAATCAATCAGAAGAGTCGAGTCGTCTACGAAGAATGAGTCCGATATGGTGTGTCCTGCGTTCAGACGCACACTTTGGCAGAATGTCACGTCAAAACGAAAAGTAACGCAGGCAAGGCATTGCTTTGCTTCACTTCTCGCGTGCGGACATGATGTTTTGTTTGATCATAAAATGTGTTTGTGGGTCGGTGTACAATAGCTCGATCAATACAACAAATATCGCGCTAAACTATATTTGCTCAAACAGTCGAAACAGAAAGCTCTAGTTGACGCGGCCAAATACGATATTGAGATCCAAAAACAAAGCGTATGCTTTGCCGTCCAGGCTTGTCATGAAGCCTTGTCGATCTGCAAAAACTGGACGCGGTGGTGGATCAAGAGATTTTACCTGGTTGGATAAAATCTGGTCCAAGGGGCTATTGTCGCGTCCAAACGTTCGTCACGATGTCCGCAGCTGAGATATCAAGTCGAATGCGTTTTAGCGCATCCAGACGTGCTACAGTGTTCCTGATTAAACAAGACGCATCAAGTTGACGCAAGGGTAGCACTTATCGTACTCCAATTATATTTTAGCGCTTCCAGACGTGCGACAGCGTTCCTGATTAAACTAGACGCATCATCTTGACGCAAGGGCGACTGTTATTGCTCTCAAACGTTTATCACGTTGTCAGCAGCCGAGAAGTCAAGTCGGATGCTTTTTAACGCCTCCAGACGTGTTACAGCGTTCCTGATTAAACTAGAAGCATCATCTTGACGCAAGGGCAACAGCTATCGCACTCAAACGTTTGTCACGTTGTCAGCAGCCGAGAAGTCAAGTCGAATGCGTTTTAGCGCATCTAGACTTGCTACAGCGTTCCTGGTTAAACTAGACGCGTCAGGTTGACGCAAGGGCACCCATTATCGCACTCAAACGTTTGTCACATTGTCAGCAGCTGAGATATCAAGTCGAATGCGTTTTAGCGTTTCCAGATGTGCTACAGCGGCTGTTTCTTTGCGCCCTTAAAAGCAGATTTACATTCACTTGCATATGTGCGATGGGTTGGTAGCTGCCAGGCCTCGAGTGCAACCTCCATCTTGTGCAGTAGCACACCAAGTCGCAGACTACCGCCGAACAGTTACTCAAGTTCTCGTAGAACGCTTTTTTTGGTTCACCATAGTAAAAGAACTGGTGTCAGTCTGTCTATAGCTTTTCCCCAGGTAGCCTTTCTTTGCCGGGTCGTGTTTGTCAGGTCTATGCCAGTGATTGTCGCATTCATAAATAGCTCGATCGATCTCTGAGACAAAACAATCGATCGAGTCGAGCAGCTCGCGCTAAGTGCTATTATTAATTATAATATTTTTACCTGCTAGACTGTCTGGGTCTACTCTCACAGAATCCAGGCTCTATGTGATGTTTGTTGAGACTCTTTCGCTCTGTGTCCGTACTTTCTCGATTGAACTTCAATCCGTTTCATGTCGTATCTAGCGGACGAACGAGATGCGTGGCGAGTTTCCCGGGGTTGAAAATCAAATTCTAAGCAGTACTTTTACTGTAACTGCACGTCTTGCAAGGGTCTGCTTTTATGTATGTATGGCTTTGTCGAAGAGTTCGTGGTTTGAGTAGTCCAAAGACGCGAGGTACCGGACTGCAGATTGGCATGTAGAAGTAGTGCCTCATCAATTTCCTGTGAGTCTTGATGCCTTAGTTTCTTCTAGACGTTCTGTAGCTGGGTCTTAAAGCTTAAAATCTACGCCCTTAGACCTTGCCTAATTTCGCTTTGGCACGTCCCGCGCTCGATTGCTATCATTAATACTGAATATTTTGGCAGGCAGTGAATGAATTTCTAGTTTTCTCGACCATGCATCTGCTAACCTGCCCGGACGCTCACCTTGTGTGCGATGCGGAAGCCAGCATGCTTGAGCATGTATTACTTCTTGACGCTTTGTATACGTGTGAAAGAGCTGTCTGAGCAAAAACCAGTGAAGATGCGCTTGGAGATGTTGTGAATACTCCATTCGTCGACCACACTCAGCTTCGCAAGCCATTCGAGTCAAATAGATCAACTGGGGTCGAGGGGCGGGGCTCCCTACTGGACCGGAGAAGAGTACTGTGAATGGTGAGGATATACAGTTTTCTGGCATCAACGTGCATGATGCACAAGTTGAATAGTCTAGTCGTAGGTTCAAAGAAGTGTTGAGATTACCGAGCTGCAAGTGCGTCTCATGATCACCAAATTCCGCGGTGCAAAGACGCAGAATGTGCTACTTTTTCCGTCGATTTACAGGCACGTACACGATGTGCACATAAAGGGAAGCAATCCAAACCTTCACTTTTATGACTAGGTTGCGACCGGTGACCGTCATATTAAGAATCTTGACAGCCGTGTTGGAACAAAAAAGGTGATCGAAAAACCATGGGCACCTGATTGATCTGAATTTGCGTGATCCGATGCATCATTTAGGAGGGGTCACCACAAAGACATTGTGGTTGAAATCAACGGTAGCTTAGTATCGACTTGACAAGATATTTGACACCATCGCCACGTTTCCGTTTTTAATTGCACACAGTTTGAGCACCAACAAGCTGACCGGATCAAAGCCACCCGCTTCTGTAGGAACTCAAGATCGGCTGGTAAATGATCATGTCAGTGCACTTTGCTTTACTGCTGTATGAAGAACAAGAGTCGATATGAGTGTACGAGTCGATGAAGCAGGTCGCCTGTGCACCGGTACCACTCAACAGCATAACACGCGAGGTATTATTTTCATTGGGTGTTGTGAAAATGGATAGCGCAATGGGAACAGCGACCAGCTCACACGTTACCAGCGCCTTTGACGTGGAATATAGCTCGATGATAGAGTTCGATGAGATCTGAAATAAAAATCTTACTACGTCTTGATGTTAATTTGAAGCGCAAGAACATTTTTTTGTGCTAAGTGTCGTCGCGTAGAGTCTTCGATTGATCATGTTGACCACTAATTTCCTATTTACTTCTAGCCAAAGTGTTCAATTAAAAGCGAGTGAGTACACAACGGCTCGATTTGTGCTATGATTAGAATTTATGACGTCCTCGAGAGTGAGCATACGCCTTCGGCCGTTGAATCAATAACAGACGATATTAAACAGCGCTGTGTTCTCGTAGATAAGCATTTCCCCAGTGCTTTTTATGAGGAGAGGACGCCCTCTGATCTTCGTATGGTGTTTTTCGACAGATAATTGATTTTTGTCGAGCCAGTACACAACGGCTCGATTTGTGCTATGATTAGAATTTGTGACGTCCTCGAGAGTGAGCATACGTCTTCGGCCGTTGAATCAATAACAGACGACATTAAACAGCGCTGTGTTCTCGTAGATAAGCATTTCCCCGGTGCTTGTTATGAGGAGAGGACGCCCTCTGATCTTCGTATGGTGTTTTTTTACAGATAATTGATCTGTGGTGTTTTTCGACAGATAATTGATTTGTCGAGCCTTTACCGCGTCTAGACACCGTAGTAGTCACGTTATTCGACCTAAAAGTGAGCACATAGACTGTAATACCTGAGAGTAGTTGGTCATGACAACGCCGGTGAACGACTTGTTGACCATTATATTGGATAGGTCAACCTCGTTGCGCGAGCACTCCTTTCTCTTTGCGACGGTCGTACAACCATTTTCAGGCTCATTTGTTTGTAGAAAAGACATTATTACTGTCTGTTGAAGTGGTTTTTTTGTCATGCCATATTACATGGAGATCAAGCGCATCTAAAAAAATAGCTGACAGCCCCGCAATCATTCGAAAGCATGATGATTATCGTGCTGAGCTTCGTGATGAAGCCGAACAAGATCTCCTATTGTTTTCGCCCTCGTTCGCTTGTTGCAGAGAGGTATTCCTTAGAAACGTCGGTGTTTGTGAGTATACCGTTGGGCGCTGCTACATGATCTGGTGCCGGTGCTATTGATGTTGCTGTTGCTGCGACGAAGCCGAATCGGGGGGTTGCTGAACCGTGTCGCGAACGCGAATCGCGCAACTGAATGTAGCTTATGCAGCGAGTCGTACACGGGCTTACATCCAAGCAATAGCTAGTGTTGCAGGTTGATGTCTGTGTCCATGTCGTGATCATGAAGTTCTTTGCGTTAAGGATGTCGAGGTTCTCGAACAGAAAGGCATCATTAGGAATACTTGCCTTTGAACGGTCTAAGAGCAGACTCCTCCATTATGTGTACTTGAAACGCAAAAGGAGGGATGGGTCTTGTTTAGTGTCATTCGTATGGTACAAACTATCTAGCACATCACTTCCGCGGCTCTTGTCGGGACGCGATGAGAGGATCTTCTAGGACGGAGATTTCGCGAACGTCCATCCGGTGTCAATTTGAATGTCATATACGGCAAGCGGCAGCACGATTAGTGAAGTATGCTCCATGCAAGCTGACATTAGGGATGAATCGTCGTAGTAGCGTACTGTCATTCGATCGCTTCGACGTCGGAGAGATTCGGCTTCAAATGGCGATGCGCAATATTGACTCGGTTCAGTCGCAGCGGTTATGCTCTTGCTGTGAAAGAACATCGCCCATCATCGAACACGTACCAGATGTGAAGATATAGCAGTGTTGGACGAGGTCTCCACGGATTCGTCGTCGAGCAGGATTATACATCCGTCGATAAATCGTAAGAGATAGAAGGTGCAGCTATTTTCACATGAAGTACGGGGTCGCTTTCTTCGGGACGCGAGTCGGAGGGGTAGATGAGGCATCATCAAGGAGCGATGAAAGTGCAGTAAAGGGAAGAAAGGCTGAAACGCATGACGTGATATTCTGTGAGCCACTCGTCGAGCATTCAGTCTGATCCATATTACCGATGGAATTGCAAACGCAGTGATATGTTGAGTGATGGTCCTGGACTTCTGGCTGATGTGACACGTGGAAGCATGACAGATGGTGACAAAGGGGGGGCCAAAGAAGAAGTATGTACGGCAGTCGAGGAATTGTAATTGAACCAATACGGAAGCAGGAATGCCGGATAAGGGATGAATTCTTACAAGTTAATGTGTGGGGCCGCCGAAAGATTGAGAAGTGGCATCATCATCATTGTAGCCATAGTCTGGTAGTTTTGGCGCAACGTTTCCGTGAACGATTATATACCCGCGTCAAAAGAAGAGTGAAATCGGGATTGGTATCAAGATTTTGCGCAAAGAAAACGTGATATTTGGTAGAAAAGGCATAAGGCCTTCATCCAAGTAGAAGAATGTATTCTCGTATAAGTATGTATTTTCGTTCAAGTGGAGGATATGTGATCTAAAACTTTGTTGTATCTCATAATTCCAACCGGAGCTTGTTGCAACCTGTATTGTCTGAAGCCCATTATCTGGTCTACTCGTTTTTGTGTCCGCGGCCAAAGAAGAAATAAAATTAACCATGTCAACCATGACAGCCACCCCTTCATCAAGCAATGACCTCGCCAAAACCAGTATTATGACGAAGCAACAGGTATGTGTCCTACAATGGTATCACAACTCGTTGCAAAGCGTTTCCGTGGTAAGTGTGCAGTTTCAGCCTCACATCGTGCAATACATATAGGTTATATTGAGAGCGGTAAAACAGATATATTGGGCCTTGTCGAAGTCCTTAATTCTTTAAGTATGTGTCACTTTTCAGATAGAAGATCAAATTAAACATCAAATTACGTAACAGGATCTCAGATTCACTCCTGGGTGGAGCGTACAAACCCATTTTCAAATCGTTCGCTAGAATCGCGGACTCTCTGATTCAAGCTACTTGTATGCAAGTTGCATGGCAACTCTGTTGCATTTTGTATTACTTTCAGTCAATCCGACAACTGCATCTTAATTTACTGAATCAAGTGTGAGACTGCAGGGGCTAAGCCCAACTTGTGAAACGCGGACTCTCTGATTCAAGCTACTTGTATGCAAGTTGCATGGCAACTCTGTTGCATT